CAAACATCATATGTTCTCCCTCATAAGTGGGAGCTAAGCTATAAGCATACAAAGGCATAAGAATGATACAAATGGACTTTGGGGATTCAGGGAAAAGAGTGGGATGGGGGGAGAGGGATAAAAGACTACACATTGGGTAGAGTGTACAATGCTTGGATAATGGGTGCACCAAAATCTCAGAAATACTAAAGAACTTTTCCGTGTGACCAAACACCTCCTATTCTCCCAGTGCTACTGAAGTAAAAAGAAAAAGAAAACTATTAAGAAAGCCGTTTTATATCTTAAAATAATTTTCTTCTTCTGTTTTGTTTTGATAATGAAGTAAGAAACGATATGAAGGACAGCCAGAGTGCTTATACAATTAAAAGATATACTAATTGATGTCTTTTTTAAAAAAACTAAATTGAAAGTAGCCAACTTTCTCACCCTAAGGAGATCCCAAATTAGTAGAATTACCTGCAAGGACATTTAATACTTAGGTTGATACTTAAGAGACTTGAAGCTAGGGTGCCAGAGCCTGAAATTTCTTATTTAAAAAATCTTCTGGCTCTTGGAAAGTGCATAACTGGACTACTAGTGTGTGGTCTGCTGGTTCTGAACAAAATCAATGCTATATTAACTAGTAATTTAAAATAATTGGACTGGGCACAGTGGCTCATGCCTGTAATTTCAGTACTTTGGGAGGTCAAGGCAGGTGGATCACCTGAAGTCAGGACCAACCTGGCCAACATGGTGAAATCCCATCTCTACTAAAAATACAAAAATTAGCTGGACATGATGGCGGGCACCTGTAATCCCAGCTACTCAAAAGGTGGAGACACAAGAATCACTTGAACCCAGGAGGCAGAGGTTGCAGTGACCCAAGATTTTCTAGGAAAAAGTTCCTAGAAATTTTTTCTAGGAATAATTCACCTGCACTCTAGTCTGGGCAATAAAAGTGAAACTCTGTCTCAAAAAATATATATATATTTAAAGGTTATTAAAAATGATATATAATTGTGTCTAGATGTTTTGACTTTGTTTCACCCCAATTTTTTATGATTTTAAAGATAAGTTTTTTTAAAGGTAATTATTTTTAGGATAAATTTATTATGGAAGGCAAAAACATTTTATATTATACTTGTCTGTTTTTTTCACTTTGTGAAGTTTAGCTTTTTACCCGACAAATTTACTCTCATTGCAGTACAATGTTTCACAAAAAAATAAATTGCCTTTGGAGAGTAAGGTTCCACCTAATGCTGTGATGGGAGATCGGAACTTGCCATGTTAGGTTTGAAACTCAGACTCCCTATAAAGTGGATCCAAAAAGCAGTTTGTAGCACACTATTCATTTTCCTTAGAGTTCTTTGGCTGGGATTTATAAACAATGGTTAGAGAAAACACCTGACCCTTGCCAGTATGTGTCTCTGGCCTACACAGGGTGGGAGCATTGATTGCACTACAGCCAAGAGGATGAGTACCCACAGATACACAGTAGCTCTTGTAGCAGAAGAAATGCGAAATGCAACAGGTCTGCAGGTTAGAATGGTTGTTCTTGTTCTCTCTTCTTGTTGAATGGTCAGTAACACATTCTTTACTAATAATATAATGGGTAGCAGGTTTAAAACTCAAAGTTAACTTGGAAATCAGCTATTGAGATTCATTTACATTTTAGAGGTAAAAAACCAAGATCCAGAAAATGTAAAAGACTCTCTCAGCATATTCTGTATTTATGTTTAAATGTCAGTGTGGGGCTTGATAGCATTTCAGACCGGATAAGATTCACTGATGTGAAAACCTGAGTGGAAAACGACTAATGCATGTTGAATATGCATAGTCAATATCTGTGCATTCAGCTCGTTGGCTGGAATAGTTCCCAGAGACAAAAATAGGCAGTAGCAGTCCTCCTGCAATGCCAGCATAATCCAAGTTCCCCTTTACAAGTGAAAGTTCACTGTCAGGGCTGTTGGGCTTAAAGACAATTTCTGTGGGGTACAGATTGCCCCAGAGAATGAAAGCTAACCTGACAGAATGAACGATAGTGGTTGGTACCAGCCATGCATGTTTCTTAATTTTTTTAATTAAACCTTAAAAGAAAATTTTTCTAGGATTAATTCACCTGTAGATAAAAAAAAAATTTTGGCTGCAGATGCAGTTCCGTAAAGGGTGCGTCTTTCTGAATTGCTGTGTAGAGTGCTAGAATCCACACCCTCATCTCAGCATATAGGCTCTTTATCTCATATAGGTTTCACTTCAAAAAGTTTGTCAGAAAATGGTGAAAAGTGATGAAAAAATAATAACTTCATTTCTTAATATAAGCTGCATCGAGGTCAAGATAACACCAGCCAGTTAGTCTATCCCTAGAGAACTTAGGATCATGGGAACTTAACCATGTCAATGCAGTCTTTTTTACATTATTAACTAAAAAAAAGTAAATGTTCCTTATAGAGATTTTAAGATAAGGAAACAAAAAAAGTCAGAAGGAACCAACTTAGTACTGTAAGGTAGATGCCTGACGGTTTTCTATTAAAAGTCTCACAAAATGGCCCTTGTTTGATAAGAAGAATGAACATGAGCATTTTTGTCAAAGAGAAGGATTCTCTGGTGAAGGTTTCCTGGGAATTTTTCTGCTACAGCTTTGGCTAACTTTCTCAAAACAATCTCATATTAAACACATGTTATTTTTCTTTGACTCTCCAGAAAGTCAACAGGCAAAATGCCTTGAGCATCAAAAAAAAACCATTGCCATGACCCTTACTCTTTACAAATTTGCTTTTGCTTAGACTGGACCATTTTCACCTCTTGGTAGCCATTGCTTTGATTGTGCCTTTTCTCCAGGATTGTACTAGTAAAGCCGTGTTTTATCTCTCTTACAATTCTTTGAAGAATTAGTTCAGGATTTCAATCCCACTTGTTTAAAATTTCCATTGAAAGCTGTATTTTTGTCTGCATCTGATACAGGTGCAAGGGTGTTGTCTCCCATCAAGTGGAAACTTTGCTCAACTTCATTTTTCAGTGAGAATTGCATAAGCTGAACTCACTGAGATGTGGTGTTGGCTGTTGTTTCTGCTGTTGCCAGTCCTTTTCAATCAGGCCATGAGCAAGATTAATTTTTTTCTCAAAAATTGATGTGGATGGTCTGCCACTGTGGGCTTCATCTTCAACATTGTCTTGTCCCTTCTTAAAATGAGTTATTCACTTGTATACTGTTAATTTCTTTAGAACGTTGTCCCCACAAACTTTTATAAAGCTCAGTGTTTTTGCCATTCTTCCACCCAAGCTTTACCCCAAATTTGATGTTTGTTCTTGCTTCAGTTGTAGCAGAATTCATGTTGCTCAGATAGAAGCTCTTTTCAAACTGAAGTCTCACAGTCTTTTTAGTGTCTCAGGCTAGATCCTATTTGGACATGTTATGACAAGTTAGTGCAAATTTATTTTGGTATAAAAAATTGTGAGATTCAGGCATAATTTTTTATCATATGCATTTTCCATGAACATTTTGAAGACTCCTCATATTTTATGTAACACAGTTTCCACAGGGAAAAGAAAATCGTAATTGGAGCATGATGAGAGTTAAGGGCCAGTATGGGATGAGGTCAGTAAAACATCCACGGTATTCATTCCTGTCTGATAAATCCAGAGAGTCCCATGAGGATAGCCTCTTTCCAGAGCTCACTTTTTTCTTTTCTTTTTTGAGATGGAGTTTCACTCTCCCAGGTTCAAGCTATGCCTCAGCCTCCCGAGTAGCTGGGATTGCAGGCACCCACCACCATGCCCAGCTAATTTTTTTGTATTTTTAGTAGAAACAGGGTTTTACCATGTTGGCCAGGCTGGTCTCAAACTCTCCACCTCAAGTGATCTACCTGACTCAGCCTCCCAAAGTGCTAGGATTACAGTTGTGAGCCACCGCACCTGGCCCCAGAGCTCACTTTGATAATCAACACTGAATGTGACATTTGCAGCCTGCATAGACAAGAGAATCCTGTTTACTTACATTCCAACCCCCACCCAGAGAATGATATGGTATCCTCATCCCCAAGGTCTTCCTCAAGCAGCCTTCAGCATTAATCAAAAAGCTCTTTCTTTGAAAACACTGCTAGCACTTACAGCACTTGTATTCAAAATCAAGAAAGGCCACTCTGGGCAATAGGCCTCAGCTCTATTTCTCCATAGATGGTAGGGTTCTCACTTCCCCTTTTCTTCTATCATTAATCTGTCAAACAAATAACACCCTTAGCACTCAGGAAAAGTGCCTGGATCCAGTTAATCACCCATTTTCACTAATCTAAGGTAATAAAAATATAAAAGATACTGCTATTCTCCACACCAGGGCTATTTTGTGGCTGAGAAAGCCTTTCTTTTTCACAACAGTGGACAGAACTAATACAAGCCTACTCATTGTGCACAGATAAGTTCCCCTTTCTCAGTTCATGACCTCAAGCTGACTGGGATCAACTGCTCCCTGGAGACCTACATGCATCTCTCAATGCCAGGACATGTGCCTGGGCACCTCCTAGTCCCTGCTGCAAGCTTCCCAACTAGATACTTGTCAACCCTCCTCACAGTCTGCCCTGGTTCCCACCCTGCGCTGTCAGACCCACACACTCACTGACACACCCTGCTCCCAGCAGGTCTAGATCTCAAGCAGCATGATTGTGACTTTCTCTCCTTTGTTACCCTTAACTGTCATTTCTAAGTACAACACTTCCTCTGAAGTACCGGGTCTTTTGTAGCAGAGGTACAGCTCTGTCTACTTGATTTGAGCAGTATCATGACCTTCTGACTTGGAATATTAAAGTTCATAGTGTTGTTTTACGCATCTCAGATGCAGATAGACTATCATTTCTCTCACTAAAATAGACGTATTTATAGCTTCATACTGTAGTTTGGGGAGAGAAGATTGGTTGTAAAACTGTTCAGAAACTTTTTTTGATGAATTCATTTCTTCCCCATTGCTTGATATTAAAATACAAATGTTGACTGTAGGCTCCAACTTAACACAATTTTCACTTTTTCTGCAGCACCTGAAATTCTAAGAGGTTGTGCCTATGGACCTGAGGTGGACATGTGGTCTGTAGGAATAATCACCTACATCTTGTAAGTGAAGAAAAGCAATTTTTATGTACATTATTTACCTTTCTGTGACGTTTTTTAGGTGTCTCTAATTCTCATAAAAACCATAAAGATTACGTTTTGCCTTTTTGTGATTTTCTGTTACATATAAAATGCATTTAGTGATAGAATTTCCTGAAAATGAACATTGCTTTTTATTTTGTAATTTTCTTGAGACCAGAATTCTTGTCCAGGGTTTTTCCATGTCTTTATCTGCTATGCAATGTATAGCAGATTTAGGGACCAATTCATTACTTGACAATAGTAATGACTATGAGCCCCAAATCACCTGTGTAATCTTGCTCTTATTTTACTTATTTGCATCTCATCTAAAATAATTAGACTTAGTCCTTTTAAAAGGGCAACTGGCTATTTAATTTCTTAAGCAATTCCAAACTGGTATATTTCTTATCAGGAATATTTTAAATGTGTTTTAGCTATCAATTTTATCTCCTATTTCTGTTAGGTTTTCAAGGGTCTTAAATTTAACACCCTACACAAATTTCTCTGGGAGAAAAAAAATGAGCAAAATATTTCAATCTCTGGTATCCCTAACTCCATTCCTGAGCTCCTGTCTAATGAGAAATAAGGAGTTTCAGGAAATTTGCCAAAGAAATAGTGAAACTGTAAGTGGAGATGAAAAAAATCAACCAATTAGAAGAGCAAATGAGAAGGAAGATTACTGCAGAACAACCAAAAATAAGATATTGGTGTGTTCAAGAGTTTAATTCAAAACAAGGAGATGTTGTTGCCATTTACAGTGCTACAAAGTTAGTTGTTGGAATGCATAATATTCAAATTTATAGAGAAATTTCAAAGGGTTTGAAAGTAGGTATATTAGTCTACCTGGGCTGACAGAACAGAATATATAGACTGAGTGGCTTAAATAACAGAAAATTATTTTCTCACAGTTTTGAGGGCTGAAAGTCCAAGATCAGTGTTTCAGCACAGTCAGCTTCTGCTGAAGGCCCTCTCCTGACTTGCAGATGGCCACCCTTTCATGATGCCCTCACACGGTGGGGAGAAAGAGAGAGCGGGTTCTGTGGAGTCTCTTATGAAGGGACTAATCCTATGAGGAAGGCCCCACTCTCATGACCTCTTCTAAACCTGATTGCCTCCCAAGGGCTTCATCTCCAGATACTATCACATTGGGAACTGGGGCTTCAACATATGGATTCGGGGGTGGGAGGGTGAATACAATTCAGTCCATAGCAGAAAGCTTTTTATTAAATTTGTTTTTAACTTAATAGTGATCTTAAAAAATTCAGTGTCCAGGTGACATGGACTAGGAATGGGCTGACCGTGGGATGGGCCGCCCACAAGCACATTAGCAAACTCTAAGTTCACCTGATACACATTGACTGGCAGCCAAGACAAAAAGGTTAAACAAGCACCTGATAAAATAGCCACTTACTAATATGTAATACAAAAAGATATTTTTAGTGTTCAATTCCTTGTGTCTTTAGAAAAGCTTGAGAGAAATTGGAGAGGTAGAGAATCCTGTAGTTGTCCCCAAAATTTAGGTTTGCTCATAAACTATAAATATACCCAATTTATGTACCTATATAGTGACAATTGAACATTGTTGAAATGTACTGGAAGGCATTAAGTATTAATGATATAAACAAACTTGCAGAGATGGAAGTAGGAAATTAAGTTACATTTACCCAGAAAAATTGGAATATATGGAATGCATAAAACTTCATGGTATCACTGACATAGGAAAAATGTAATTATTTGAGAAATACCTTAGTGTAACCCTGAAGATAGTTCTAAAAATCTGTCCTATCCCCTAGTTCATTACCAAATTATACAAACTATTTTATATATTTCTTTTATGTTTATACACTTAAGGTAATTAGTAGGTTCAGAGGGGTAGCCTCCAAAGTGAAAATAACGGTGCTGCTTACAACTAATATTCTTTAGTTCTCAACTAACTTCTGTCAGCCCCTGAGCCTGAGGATGTTTTATTTACCCTGTCGTTCATTAGTAATTGGTGAAGTCCACTGGCAAGGTCAGCTGGCACATTTTCTTCAGTGGGTCTGGATCTCCTTTATTAGATTGGTTTAATGTACACTCAGTGGCCTGCTGGCCACCTGAGACTATGACCTCTAACATCTCATTCATTTGACTAGAGGGGCTTGGAGACAGACAGAGCAGAGTATAGAAGTAACCAAATGAAGAATCAGAACTAAGGATATATTTTGTTAATGCTTCCTGGGAAAGTAAATCTTACAATGAAGCTACATTATAAGCTTCAGTCAGTTGCTTTCTTCTGTCTTCCAAATGTTGAGGCATTTGTTTTACCGATACTTGTCTGTATGTACGTAAACTCTGGGGCTCATTTTTCAATAAAGCCATGAATAGACATTTGATTCTTCCTATCCATATAAAGAACTCTGTTCACTCTTGCCCCTCTTCTTGAGGCTACTGTTGCATTTTAACTTCACTCTTTCTAAGAGTTCTAGCTTGTCACCACCAGACTGTTGGTACGGCCTTGATATTTCTAAGAATGACATTAGGCTGAAAATGAAGGCCATTCTCATTTTTCTCCCAGGAATTCTGGTATCTTTACATTTATACCTAAACCCTCTGCCCCTACAGATAAAAGCTGCAGGACTGGGCCTTATGATCTCATCAGAAATCAGATAGCATCAGAGATTCAAACTCACTCTTTCAGCTTTCAACACTACAGTTTTGCCACAAGGCTTTAAATTGACGCCTTTTACCTTTGTCACTCAAGCACAAAGTCACTAATCATATTGAAATGAAAGAAAAGGCATTTGAGCACTATAACTCTTGAGTGGTCATTTTTGTCTCTACATTTTCGGAAGGGAAAATATAAGGTACCTCCTGAACTAAATCTAGAAAGCTGGCTCATTTCTCCATGACTAACAGCAACAGGCCATAGGTTTCTAGTGTTGTGGAGAGCAGGGCAGGGCAGGCAAGGCAGGCAAGGCCAGACTCTCTCCTTTTCAAGGTGAGTACATGTGCCCCGTCTCACCTCAGGCTGCTCTTCCACAGGCAGGTCAGGAGTGGGATTCTCTGTGTAGACTGCTGGGTAGGTAAAGGGAGAATGCATTGGCCCAGGCCTCAGCACTGTCAAGCCTTACATTTTTCTGGCTGGCTACAGAATATCTGGAAGAGACAAAAGATTCTCCCAGTGGGACATTCTATGAACAAAAGCACATAAGAAACTGCTTCTTTCTAAAAGCTCATCATATTAGGATGCACTTTAATTTTTAATGCTATGTACCAACCTGGCCAGCTTGAGGGAAGCCTTCGGGAAAATTTCTTATTCATCCTCCCTCCCACCCTCTTTTTTTTCGAATGGAACACAAGCAACACATATGCCCTGGCACGGGATTTTTTAAGCAGTTGCCTCTTTCTCAGTCCCTACCGATTTTAGAACTTTCACCCATCTATAAACAGTGGAGGCTCGCTTTTCCTTTCTCTCTTGTTAAAATGCCCGAGATAGTTCTCTGTCCCTTTTTTCCCACGTTTCCCATTCATTTTTAAGCTAACTCAGTAGAAGAAAATGATACAAAAATTGAGGCAAATTGAGACTGCTCATTTCTTTGACTGCATCTGGTGACTATATTAATATTACACATCTTGTAAGGCCATTCCCTGACAATAGTTATAGCTCCTGTCTTTGTTCTTTCTGAAATCCAAACTGGAATGGAATAGAAATATTGTAAAGCTTTATTCATTTCTATGGAAGATATCATAGAATAGGGCAGAATAAATATAAGTGAAAAAATTCTTCTTTCCACTTTTTAATTTCTTTACTCCCAAAAATCCCAGCTCTTCCCTTTTATACTAAATTGGAAGTCTATTCAATCTCTGTCTGCCTGTCTGTCTGTCTTCTCAATACCTGTCAAAAGATCCATGGAAAGGCTTTAGCATCATGTCCATAATGTTAGCTATTATTATTCTTGTTCTTCTTTGTAATAATTATTATTATAGCTTTTTGTAGAAATCCTAAGTTGGCTTTATATTAATTCCTACTTCCTGAGGCCTTGATCATATATATACACTATCAATAGTGAGTTGTAATAAGGCAGTTACATACTTATGCTGAGTAGATGTACTTTCACAGCTGGAAGCTGTGGAAAAGAACAGTCTTGAATTCCTACAGAAATTTGATGAAATATACTTGAGCTTTTAAAGACATTTTATTCTCTATATTTTGTTCCTCTAGACTTTGTGGATTTGAACCATTCTATGATGAACGAGGCGATCAGTTCATGTTCAGGAGAATTCTGAATTGTGAATATTACTTCATCTCCCCCTGGTGGGATGAAGTATCTCTAAATGCCAAGGATTTGGTAAGTGTAACCAAACCAAAATGAAACAAAATGAAATCAATTGATTTTTAACTAATCAATGCGCAGTACAATTTTTTTAAATGTTGCTCTTGTTACTATCATATGTCCTTGCGATTTTAAAGTATTTTTAATAAAATGAGTTCATTAATATATTTTCCTTAGGGAATAAAATCTAGATATGTTTTTCACTCATCACAAGGTGAATTATCATAAACTACAATTACTACAGGATTAATGAGCTTTTACTACCGAATCAGTATAAAAAACCTTGCTTATGAAGAAAGCTGTGCTGGGTGAATTCTAACACAATTTACACAGAAGAATTCTGTTTTAACATGGCTTGCAAGTGCCTAGAATTTAGATATACTTCATTTCTTTTTTTGTATTTTTTTTTTTATATTTTGAGACAGGATCTCCCTTTGTCACCAGGCTGGAGTGCAGTAGCATGATCATGGCTCACTGTAGCTTCCAACTCCTGGGCTTAAGCAATCCTCCCACCTTAACCTCCTGAGTAGCTGGGACACAGATGCATGCCACCATACCCAGCTAATTTAAAAAAATGTTTTTGTAAATATGGGGTATTGATATGTTGCCCAGGCTGGTCTCAAACTCCTGCCCTCAGACAGTCCTCCCACTTTGGCCTCCCAAAGAGCTGGGATTACACATGTGAGCCACGGTATCCAGCCTAGATATACTTCAACTAAAACAATATTGCTTCCTGAAATTTCATTCAAAGTTATTAAAATATCCTGGTAGCAACATAAGTCCCATTATGTATTATTGGCATTATAAAAATGTTCCACTGTGTTAATAGTTCATTTTGTTTGTTTTTATATTGCTTCTCACTTAAGTTAATATTGATATTTGTTTGCATTTAGCAAATGCATACCTTCTGGGGAGGTCATTCACCTCTTATAAAATCAAGAGGATGCTAGCATGAGATTGAAACACTTATCATCGATCCACTAGAGAAAAATCACACAGACATAATCAAAAGCTGACTTTTGAATCATAGAAGGTTAGATATCCATGAGGTCTTAGGAGGCATCTAGTCCTCCTCTCATTTTAAAGATGAGACTGCTAAAGGCCAGAGGGTGAAATGACTGCCACGGTCACATAGCTTCCCAGCAGAAAGGCATTATTAGAGCTGATCCAGTTGTCCAGACTCCCTTTCCAGTGCTCTTTTCTCTTCAAGCATTTCTTCCTTATCCTCTGTGTTCCTTCATGGAACAGATAAGGCTCATGACTTTTCCAATATGACTAGGAAGAGAAAGTCAGTGTGTGTGATGGGTGATATGTAGATATGTCATTGGAACTCCTTCCTCAAGTCATACCCCATGCTCCCAAACATCCCTTGAATCCATCCAGTTCTCTCCCTCTGGACCACTGCTCCAGTCTCCTATGTGGACTCCTTTCCTCTTCTCATGTCTTGCACAGGATCCAGAGGGATGGTCTTATAAATAAATTACATCATATCCTTCTTCTGCTTTAAGAATCTTAGAATAAAATCCAAAACCCATAACAAGATCTACATGATGCTGCCTGGTCTGGGGCCCGCCACTCTCTACTGTGCCATCACTCACTTTGCATCTCTCTCCTTTGATCACTCTTCACTCTAGTGTAGCACACTTGCACTTTCTCATCAGCATAGCTCAGAATGTTGCCATGCCTCTTTCTTCCGCTCTATAATGTTCTCTCTTTCTTCCTCCCCACCTTTTCCTCCATTACATACATGTGCAAACACACACATACACACACATACATACACACACCCCTGGGTAACTCATATTCTCAAGCTCCAGCTGCCACTAGACATCCCTTGGGAAGCTTGGTCTGCCTTCTCCTTCAGTCCCTCTCTCCTACAGTTGGTTCCTTCTGCCAAAATCTTCCTTTACCTCCTGCACCCCCCAGTTCATAGTAGTCATCACTTATATGTTTAATGGTCCTCCCTAATTAGATTTTGAGCTCTGTGGCAGAACACAGCGTGTATACTCAGACCTTAGAACCACATACGGCACAGGCTCAATAAATGTTTATTGGATGAAACAATGGATCCAGAAATACACCATGAAATTTTAGAGTCTGACACACCTGGATTTAAATGCCGCCTTTGTCATGTCCTGGAAGTGTAACCTTGGGCTTATGATCTAACTGCCCCCCACCATGCTTTAGTTTTTCTCATCTAGGATGATAATTGTACCTATCTCTAGGTTGTTGTGAGAATTAAGGAACATAACATAAGTAACTAGTATCAACTAACTTAAAACAGTTCTCTTATTTAGCCTCCTTCTATTTCTTTTCACCATTAATAAACATTAAGTGACTAAGAGGGTTAGCTTTGATATTCCTTCATTCAGCTAGATCCCATGTTAGTTTATCACTGCTTAAAATTCAGAACTGGAAGAACCCTTAAGCTTCATAAATGCATACTTACTAGCAAAACCCACATCTGTTGTGTCATTGACAGAGACTAAACGCTGAGGAGTTGGGGAACTGGATATAAGAGGTACTGCAGGGTAATGGTGAGGCTTTGAGTGTGATTCTAACCTTCAGAAAGTTTCCTAACGATTCAGTTAGGATTGTTACCAGTATCTTCAAATGTAAACATTAATAATGGTGTATATAAATTTTTGGTGTATATTGACTTTCAATAAATTATTTGCATTTTCATGAGGAAGATCATAATGATGAGGGAGAGGAGAAATATATTTGAAAATTAAGAGGAAAATACATAATTGTCAAAAATGTTGTAAGGATTAGATCTCATTTACATAAAATTATTGGTAGACATGTTCAAGGGATGATAGCTCTGAGTACTATCAGATTTTTATTTACCATCATGCTTTCTTTCTCTTAACCATCCTGCCTTCTTCCATGTCCTCTCCGATTTTAAGCCTAAATGGCCTCATGTCTCTGCCTTCTGCAAATTTAGCCCAAACACAAATTCTTTTGCAGAAAGGAAGTGTCAAGAGAACCAGATAGTATTTATTCCTCATTTGATTTGCTACCTAATTTCCTTCACCTGTGTTCACATCTCCTTAGGTAATTAGAGTTAGAAAAGACCTGAGACCTACAATCATTCAAAGCTTCTTATTTTACACATGAGCAGGCCGAAGTACAGAGAGATTGACCACCTTGGAGACGTCATGGTGTAGTGGCCACAGATGCGCTCTGACATAACACAGACCTGAGTTTAAATACAGGCTCTGTCAATTCCAAATTGTTTGACCTTAGGCAAGTCACTAAATGAACTTCCCTGCTTCCCACATTTATGAACTGGCACTATTAGTTCCAAATGATAAGGCTACTAAAAGGATTACATTAGTTTTTTTAAAAGTTTTATATTCATCTAAGAAGCATTTACAAAGGAATTAAAGTGAAAATAAGACCTGTAAGGAAAAGGCCTGAGGGGGTATCCACAGGCAATTCATATATTATATCTATGTCTAGGATCACAAAAGTGACCAGCATAAACCAGGGTTTTGAACACACTTCCTGAATCCCAGTAGTTCTCTACCTCATATCAGGTCACCCCTACCAAGCCCAGAACTGTGGATTACTTTATTTGTTGACCTTCCTTGGAATTTATTGACTGCCCATCCTCACAAGCAGGAGTAATCCTCCAAGAATGGGCTGCCAATGATTGGATTCCATTCTTTACGCAAATCATGCCCTCAAACCACTGACTTCTTTGATTATAAAATGATTTTTAAATTCTGGGCTTAGTCCTTCATGTACCCTCAAGGGGTTAGAAAGAACTATGAACCCCAACATAGAAACATGAGGTAGTATTCCATAACTGCTGGGATACTCTCCCTTTTCTTTGTCATTGAATTGCCACAGAAAGAATGATGATGTGGGAATGATTTCATTCTGTTACCATAGAAATGTATTTTAAGTTCTGAATTCTAGGTGGTTGTGAATTACAGCCCAGAATTATTTTGCTAGTTCTGCCTTCAAAGAACTTCCAGTCCACAGGCAAGTGAGGAACTGTTTCTTGACTTCTGTTGGACAACCACCTACCACTTTGGAGGTCTCAGGTGGTAAATGCCCCTGTCTTTTCACACTCCCTCAGCTACAGCTACCTGAAGCCATTCCTATCCACAGTGACACCTGAGGACTTGAACAGTTTTTTCCAACATGTATTTAGTTGTACTGCTGGGAAATCAAGTAAGACTGGAAAGTTTGTAAGCTGAGGGCAAGCCCAGGTCACCATAAAAACCTCCCTTAAGTTTATGGTTCTTTATTATTTCAGGTCAGAAAATTAATAGTTTTGGATCCAAAGAAACGGCTGACTACCTTTCAAGCTCTCCAGCATCCATGGGTCACAGGTAAAGCAGCCAATTTTGTACACATGGATACTGCTCAAAAGAAGCTCCAAGAATTCAATGCTCGGCGTAAGCTTAAGGTAAGATGGCATATGTTTTGTTGTGGTTTTTTAAAAAAAGTATCTCTTATCTTGATCTATCAATAATAGTTCTACCGTTCTTCATCTAATACTGTTATTTATTTTTTAAAGCACTAGGGAAAATCCTGCTTTGAAATTCCAATAATGCTGACACAAAGCTACTTACAGTTTTCTTATCCTCTCATAAGGAATTCATTATTAATAAAGGGAAATTTGTCATAAGTTGATATTTACATACCAAATACATTATTGTTGCTTCCCATCTAACGAAAGTGTACTGCTTAAACAGCATTGTTCCGGAAAAACTGACATCTATTCAGAAAGTTGTTTTCTTTTGGAATATGAAAAACTTGGGAGACAATTTTTGAAACTATATTTACTAACACAGATAAATAATTACTTGACAAAAATTTAAAAATTTAAGTGCTATAGTAAATTAACAAAATATGTCATTTTATATAGTACCTATGGAATAGAGATTAGGAGCTTTTCTATTTCATAACTGTGTTTAGGACTAGCTCTGTAAGTAGAGGATCTCAGAGAACAGGTGGGTGTCAGAATTAGGGTTCTATGCAGCCATTGCTCACAGGCTGATACAGACTAAATAAATATAAAAGGTTCCATGGTCAAATTAATTATAAATACCCCTAATTACATAATATTGACTTAACCTAGGATTTCTCAAGCTAGCTTGATCATGGAACTCTTGTATCCCCATGATGACATCCATATGGTAAAAACTAGTAATATCCACAGAACTAGTGTTCCATAAAACAAATACATTGGAAAACACCGTTTAAAATTTTTGAAAATTGGTTAGTCCTGGGTAAACACATTTACTCAGGCTTTCAGTTGTCTAGATGATTAAATACACTAATTTGTATTTAATTTGAGAGTAAAGAGATTGCATTGTTCATTTTCCAACTTTTCTTTTGGCAAACAATCTAGGAATAAGGTACTTTGAAAGCTTTAACACTAACCTATGTTGTTGTTGTTGTTTTTTGAGACGGAGTTTCGCTCTTGTTACCCAGGCTGGAGTGCAATGGTGCAATCTCGGCTCACCGCCACCTCCGCCTCCTGGGTTCAAGCAATTCTCCTGCCTCAGCCTCCTTAGTAGCTGGGATTACAGGCACACGCTTCCATGCCCAGCTTATTTTTGTATTTTTAGTAGAGACCGGGTTTCACCATGTTGACCAGGATGGTCTCAATCTCTTGACCTTGTGATCCACCCTCCTCGGCCTCCCAAAGTGCTGGGATTATAGGCGTGAGCCACCGCACCCGGCCTAACACTAACCTATGAAACAGAATCTCTAAAAGCAAAGTTGGAATTGAGCTCTGATGTGGTGTGTTAAAGCAGAGGAAACACTTGACACTCTTCTGTTTCCAATCAGGCAGCGGTGAAGGCTGTAGTGGCCTCTTCCCGGCTGGGAAGTGCCAGCAGCAGCCATGGCAGCATCCAGGAGAGCCACAAGCCTAGCCGAGATCCTTCTCCAATTCAAGACAGCAACGAGGACATCAAAGCTATTCCAGAAGGAGAGAAAATTCAAGGAGATGGGGCTCGAGCCCCAATTAAGGGGGCACAGGCTGAGCTGATGAAGTTGCAGGCTTTAGAGAAAGTTAAAGATGCAGATATAAATGCTGAAGAGGTCCCCAGGATGGTGCCCAAGGCAGTGAAGGATGGGATAAAGATGGCCGACCCTGAAACAGAGGAGGGCCTGGCAGAGGAGAAGCTGAAGACTGTGGAGGAAGCAGCAGCCCCCAGAGAAGGGCAAGGAAGCTCTGCTGTGGGATTTGAAGTTCCACAGCAAGATGTGATCCTGCCAGAGTACTAAACCCGCTTCCTTCAGATCTGGAAGCCACACACCGGCATTTTATGTACTTTGTCCTTCAGCAAGGAAGGTGTGGAAGCATGATATGTACTATAGTGATTCTGTTTTTGAGGTGCAAAACAAATACATATATACCAGTTGGTAATTCTAACTTCAATGCATGTGACTGCTTTATGAAAATAATAGTGTCTTCTATGGCATGTAATGGATACCTAATACCAATGAATTAAATTTTGCAAGTAAACACAACATGACACTTAAAAACATACATTTTCAGCAACCAGTGGCACATATTTGAAGTGAATGGTAGCAAACTGTTTTTGCTTTGAAAACCTAGCCATCCTACATCCTTTGGATTTCTTCACAAGGTAGTAATTCCTTTGAACTACTGCTTAGCTAATACTAGGTAGTGCTATAAGACATGTTCCCATGACTTTCACAACATTTTACTTTTTATCATTATGTGTTCAAACTGTTTACAGGGAGATGCTTATAGATGATAGTTGTACATACATGCAAAAAAAAAAAATTTCACTTGCAATAGTAAGAGATTGAAGCATCCTTTAAAGGCCAAGAAACCATATGTCCCTAAAGCTTATGTGTAGAATGCTTTATTTTATTTTTATTTATATATGCTATATTAATAATAACCAAAATCTTCTAAGATTCTGCCATTTTACAACCCTGAAGGAAGTATGTTACAAACTCATGCTGAGTTTCATTCTTTCCTTCACCTGCTCTCCAATGAGATGACTTTCTGATAGACGAAGCTTAGGGTGTAATAAACAGGAAAGAGAAGAAGGTAAGACTCCTTAGACTGAAGATAAGATTGATTCCTTTTCATTTTTCCAGATAAAATTGTATTTACTCATGAATTTATACAACTTTACAGAAAGGAACATTTTAATGGATAACCTCTGTAATTACCAAATTTCAAATATTTAGAAAAATGTATTCCACAGGTTAGTGCCAAAATGTCTGAATGGAGTAGAAATAATATTCCATTATAAGATCATTGATTATTGACTTTAATAGAGTAAGAAAACATTATTCTTTACCAAAGTTTTTTTTTTATCCAGTTGATGGTTATCTACGTATATCACTTACAAACTAGCTATTTATGGAAAGCTAGTATGTCTTTTTCTCGTACTTAGAATGAAAGTATCCACATTTTACAATGTAGTCTTGAGATAGTGCCTGTCAAGAAATCTAGCACAATGCCATTTATTTACCTTAAAAAACAAAAGCAAAAATAAAAACACTGATTTAAATCAGACTCTTAAAAGGCTGAAACATTAGAAATAATATTTTGTTATGATTTTTCCCTAGAATAAATATAATTTCTCCTTGACTTTCATAGGAACACTTTCCCCTTATAGATATTGCACTAAGTATCTCCAATTTATTTCTAGTTTGAGTTGAAATGAATATTTATCAGATTATGTATCACATTGTTGGGTTTTCTTAATTTAAAAAAAATTTATTTTAAAAAACAATTATTTTCAGAGACCAAGTTAACGACAATAAAAATGACTATCACATTAAAATCCTAATTAAAAAAAGAGATCTTGAATTATGTTGGTCCTCCCTCAAAACTATTAAATTAGAAAATGAAATTAAAGCTTCAGTTTTTAGACCTTGTTGGACCTCAGTAGACATTCTTCTTCCAATCACAAGTCTCCCTTTACTACTATTATCATGGGAAGAAAACAAGATAGGACTTCCTATCTTTCATCGTTTAAGAATCTGACAGGTCACTGATATGGAGCCCCTGAAGAGGCACATTATCTGAGCTCAGAAGATTTTGTTTTGTTTTGTTTTATATGTACAATTAGTAAAGAGCACTTTTCTTCTTCCCTCTTTTCTTCCTTCCTCCTTTAATTATTCCCTCTCAGAATTCTTATGTCTTATGTCAGAATTCTTATTAGGGGCTCACTGCTTTTCACCTTTAAAAATGCCTTTTTTATTAAGCATTAAGATTTCCATTTAAGAGGATCAACTTCCTGTTGTACCTTTTACCATGAGACTCAACAGATACACACAGGCACCCACACACATACACATGCACACATACACACGTATGTATGTATTGGAAGAGCAAAGAGAGGGAAGGGGGTCTTGTTAGAAAGTGGCAATTAGCTGAAAGATCAGAACGTATCATTCTTCCCTGCCCCTGGCCGCCATATTGTTCCAAGGGCAGTTGTTACGTTATTCCAACACTAGGGTAGCGCTAACAGCATTGGTTGGCCCCATGGACTATAGAAGCAACATTGCAAATACCAGGGCCAATGTGTATTTTAGAGTTTACTCATTTAAATGAGTGCATATGACCATTCCAATGTGATTATTTAAGAGATGAAGATAATTATCTTTTTTAACCTTTTCTAAAAATCAATGTGAGTTTTAAATTTTGACTCATGTTAAAGATTAGATTTTTGACAATGACTATATAGTGACTAGTTTCATCGTTTTAGTAGGAAAAAAGTCAAACTTTCAACAGTGTTGGTCATTTCAGTCAGATTATTCAGAGATTTTGTAGGTATACATCCTGTTGGGATAATTATGTTAACATTTTTGAAAGCACAGCCAATGTTTATATTTCTTGTTAAAATGGAATGTATTGTCTATCTCAAAGATTACTTTGCTAAATAATAGTAGACAAATAGAGATTTAATTTAACAAATACTTCATAACATCACTCCTAATTGGCAGTATAGTCACAAAGCAAAAGAATTAAATTTCAACAAGCAATAAATTACATTTTGCATTTTAGACCTAACAGTTATCACATTACATTATTGATTTTTATTTTGAGATAAGTTCAGATACATAGCATAAACTAGGGGGTGTGTGTGTGTGTGTATTTAACAATGAAAGACAGTCTTGAATTATTTCCCCCATTAACAACGTCTAATTGGAATCCAGTATTTTTTCTTAAACTGTAATTTCACTTTTCCCAGGACACATAAATAAGGCAAAACTTAGAATAATATGGTTGTAGAAGTTATTGTCCAGAACAAGTGCATTATATAAATATAATATAAATATAATGCAAGCACATGTCATATAAAATTTTCTATTAGTCACATTTTAGGAAAAATAGATGAAACTGTAGCATTTTTAATCCAATTCATCCAAATTATTCTATCAACATATAGTTAATATTAAAATTTAATGAGATATTTTGAATTCTTTATTTTTATACTGTTTTCAAAATCAGGAGTGTATGTTATGCCTTTGGTACATCAAGTGCTCTGTAGTCACATGCAGCTAGTGGCTACCATATTAGACAGCACTGGTCTAGAGTACTTTTTATTTTAAGCAAAGTGGCACTTGAAGTTCTGTGCTTAGATTTAAGTGGCCTCGGTTTTTGCATTGAAGAGCTGTGGAAGGCCAAAAATTGTTTCAGAAATGTACACACTGAGTAAAAGCTTATTGACCACCCCTGCCCATTCATGTGCTTCAGAGGAGAAGTGTTTCCTAACAACATCAAAGAACAACACTTTCCTGGGCATTACTAAATTATTTACTGACTAGTCCCTCTGATTCCTGATGGGTCCTGGAGTCTTGACTACAGCCTAGAGTCTCCTGAGTACTGCCATGATGCCGGTAGTATTCTTGCTTACCAAAATCTACTGTCAGCCAACCATGTGTCTTCATTCAGGAAGGACTGCACATAGAATCTGATTTTTGAGGCCTGGATGCTGCATGCCATCCTGGTATCACGGGCAATATGTCTTTCTGGAAATCCGAACCATACCAAATATGCATGATGAAGATTGTATAATGATGGTGATATCATGCCAGTTATCTTCAAAATGGGAATATGATCATTAGCTGGCATTTTTTAGATTTCCTTAGAAGAGTTTAATCAACACTGCCATTACACATGGATTTAACAAAAAACTTTTGAAAATTTTTTACATACTGATTTTAGAATAATCTTCAAGGTTCTATAGTCATTTTTAGTGGAAGACTTAAAAAGAAAGGGACAATTTTTACTGTGACCTCAATTTCATAGTATTTTGTAATTCACAATATTTAGCAATCCCTATGTCCTGTTTCACATGTATGGCAACTGATGGTGGGCTGCCTACAGGCTGAAGATTTGGAGAGAGCCATTTTGTTTCATAAATCAGTTTTTATTGCACAAGAAGCAGCTGGTTATACTTCAAGTTGGAAAAAAAAAATGCCAGAAAAGGCAAAGGATAAAGTTAGTAAGCCATTTATTTTGTTTTAGAATTGTTCTTGCAAAGCAAATTTTTTTTTTCAAAGGTCAAAAAAGTGAATCAGTACTAGCATTTTCTTGATGAAGGTTGACTCAATATGTAATGAACAGATATACATAGAAGAATCAATCATAATGCCATTATGTTACTTATTTGTCATGGCAAAGTATTCAGTCTAGTTGTCTGGATTTATTTTAGATGGTGCAAAATTTCCAGACATTAACCTATGTAAAAGGATTTGCAATTTCCTTGTAATTACTGCCTGTTAGTCCGTATTCTAACTTCCTTGTGTTCCTCATTCACATGTTCCTGATCAGGGTCATCGCTAGTAGTTGAGCATTTACTGGTTGAACACTGCTTAATGGTTAGATGTTATGTGTGTCTGCATTTAAAAAATTATGTACATGTTATTTCACTATTGGTATTACATATATATTCATAAACATGTGATAAGCAGAAATGTACCTAATAATTTCCTGTAAAATTTTTTAAAGTCCTTACCCTGACACACTCAGGGTGAATTTTTGGCTTCTTGGCAAATAAGAAAAAAAGGAGAGAGATCACTGGAGAGATAACAGCCAGCCACTTACAGTAATCAGGTTCAGTGTTTCCTCTTTCTATATTTTGACCAATATATTAAGAGCAAGTTTTTGTCATTATTACTCCTTGTGGTATTACCTAAAATCAGATAATATAATCTCAGCTCATAAACCTTAGCCATGTCTATACTTTTCTTGGAGAGCAATAACAAGCTTCGTTAATTTATATTTGGTTATTTAAAATTCCAACTTTCATAAATGCTCTGTGATGTATTTGAGATGATTGGATTGTGTGATATTAACTTCCTTTGAGAACTCAGTCTTCCCTGTCGTCTGGATCAGTGGTCCACCAGGGCAAAAAAAAGCCTTGCCAAGGAACCAGATACTGTTCTAGAGAAGACTCCAGGCATCCGACCTGGTCGAGCTCAAATGAGCCAAGTGGGAGAAAACCTCTTCTCAGCCTCTGATCGAAAGTGATATGATTTGAATATTGGTTTACTGTCACTGATTAATAATGGAAAGATGAGATTCCACCAATTGCTTGCTCTTTTCCTGTCTTGGTTTGCTACCCCGTGTCCCAGACCAGTGGGACATCCCTATGGTCATCAGGCTTGTCCTCTAAAGCCCTGACAGGAGCGTCCCAGATGGGAGAAATGTAGGGTATTTGTGGCCCAGAATTTAGTTTGAAACTCTAAACAGCAACGCTAAGACTGCAAAATCACACTATTCTAAACAGCTGTTTTCAGCTCATCTTGAAGATTGATCTGGAAAACGCATAGATATAGAATGTATATATTTAATATTTGCTTGTGATTCATTGTGTCAAAATAACATTTAATTTTCACTCTGATAAATCTTTATTTTCCATTTAAAAGATTATTTTAGGCTACTTAAATACAGTAGACTTTACATTCCAATTTTTGAAAGTTGTTTTCCCTAAGCTCTCTCCCAACTCTTGACAGTTTGCGAATTATAAACGTTTACTAGGTTTGGCCTTTCCTTGATAGATGTAGAGCAGTTCATCTGTTTAGTAAAGGTACAATTAAGTATGACTATAGGTTGGGCGTGGTGGCTCATGTCTGAAATTCCAGCACTTTGGGAGGCCGAGGTGGACAGATCACCTGAGGTCAGGAGTTCAAGGCCAGCTTGGCCAATGTAGTGAAACTCCGTCTCTACTGAAAATACAAAAATTAGCTGGATGTGATGGTACACACCTGTAGTCTTAGCTACTCAGGAGGCTGAGGCAGAATTGCTTGAACCCAGGAGACAGAGGTTGCAGTGAGCCAAGATCACGCCACTACACTCCAGCCTGGGAAGCAAGAGTGAAACTCCGTCTCAAAAAAAAAGTATGACTATAAACTGAAAACTGTCATCTCATACTGCATCCTTTTAACCTGATCTATTTCATATGCCTACAATACAGTTAATAGGCAGCATAATAGAGAACAAATAGCTATTCATAATTTGGGATTTTGTTTATGGCACCCTTAAGTCTCAGAAATATTTTTAAAAGTCCCCCATAAGCCAAAACAATGTTTTAACATGTTCATTTGTGAAGTAGTTAGGCCTAAACGTTGTAGGAGTATGTCATTCCATGCCCAGCAGATGTTGTTTTCCTTCAAAATGTTTAAATGTCTTGTGAGTTTAGCAAGTGGGGACAGCTGAGTTAGGGTTTAAGTTCTCATGCCCAATGAACGAAAGGTATCAGTAAAAGAGGTTGATAGTAAACAAAATTAGTTATTTATGCTCTTGTTTGAATGTCAATCATTCTTTTTATCTCTGGTCTTTGAGATACCCACATAAAATTTATGTGCATATTTTTTTAAAGAATAATTTCTATATGATTTCCCAAGAACTGAACTCGAATCTCCAACAGTTTTCAGAACTCAAGCAACTTATGCTTCACAGAGCAAATCTACCAAAGCCTATTTTTGTTGGAACACAGACATGCTTATTTATGTACGTATTGTTTTGGCTGCTTTTACGCTGCCAAGGCAGAGTTGAGTACTTTGAACAGAGCCCATGTCGACTGCAAAGCCTAAAATGTTTATCTGGCCCCTTAGGGTAAAACAATGACCTTGGGTTTTCATGGCAACCCAGTGCCTTTTTGGCGACCTGCAGGAATACAGATTTCGATATTCCAGGTTTTTTTCTCCTTAGCTTAAGGTTCTTATTCCCATTAGCTTCTTAGGAAGTTAGGAAAATTTTATTTTATGTTACAGATATTCTCACAGCAATAATTGTACTGGAGCTACAACTTATGGAAATTTTCCTACAGAACTAAAAACTCAAAATTACATCGTTCCTGAAAAAAAGAAATTTAGATTATGAATTGAATTGGTTTAGAGTGGAATTAAAAAAATTTCTAGCACTTTGAGCATGTTTTAGAAATTTGATCCTTACATTTAAAATTATGTAAATGACATCTTTCACTGGCATTTTCTCACATTTAAGTCAATCTGCAGCTGTTACTAAGCTAAGAAATGAGAAGATCTCTTTGGTTCTGAATCTCTCATAATATTCTGGAGTAATTTGTATCAATTGGATTTTCATCAATTATTTTAGGAAATAATATGCTTTATTGTGTGGCATTATATGACAATGACTTTCTCATCAGTAGCTCAGGGAAGAGGCAAACAGGCAGCTCTTTTATGTAAGAAAGCCACTTTCTAATCCCCACACTTTCCTGTTACATATTTCATTTTTTTGAAAAGAGAGGGCCCTGAGTAAATGCTTTCCTTTGCTTTTCTTACATATTTAGAAATCCAAGAAGGGCCCTTGTCTTAGTCTATTTCTGTCACAGATAAATTGTTCATTCCAAAATACCTGCCTTAAGGGAAGCTGGTGACCCAGATATTAAGAAAAACATAGGCATTCATGACCTTCGTGTTTCCGTTTGACTTTCAACATCTGTAACCAAAAGGTCACAAATTAAATATTGAGTAGAAAATTCAACATCAACTTATTAGGAGTACCTAAAAATTATAACTCGAAATAATGTTTTCTTTAAACTATTGCAGCAATCAATAATATAATATAGCCACTAGGATACACTCGCTGTAGAACTTAGAACAAAAGATGTCAATCGTCTGCCAGTCCTCATGGTTGTGTGTAGCAGAGAGACTTTACCGGAATGAGAGAGGGGAAAGATAACAAAATGCAGATTAAGATTCCACATTCCTGTCTGCCCATCTTTTTGATTGCTCAGTTTGAAAACAATCATTGATGGACAAATACTTTAGAAATGAGTAGACTAAAGTCAATAGCTAATGTTTCTCCCAGAAACTAAACAACATAGTTTGGGGGATATCAGGCCTACATCCTAACCACACTTTAAGGAAGTGATTTGCTAATTTTGAGCTTCCCAGGAGCAGCCCACTCCAGGAACCATTTTCCCAGTAATGTTTCACTGAGAAACTATTATATGCCATGGAGGAGTCAAAGATGAATTAAATCCAGTGCTATGCAGGAATGAGCTTTATAGTTGGAGAGAAAAGCCAACCTTACAGATAAAAAGCCTGTATACATACAACCTATGCTAAATTTAGGCAGATGATAAATGCTAGGAATGAAGAGGGAGAAGCTCCCTTTTGCCAGGAATGATCAAGCAAAGCTTTATGGAAACACAGGCTGTATGTGAAAGACGGGTGAATCTTTGCAGGTAGGAAAGGGCATGTCTGGCTGAGAACTGGCTTGATCATAGACTGGAAAAATGCAAGGCAGAGGTGAAGCAATAATACTAGATGTGAAAGGCTGAGAAACACAGGGAAGTGTTGCCAGTGTGCAGCAGAATCTCATCTTGTGCAAAATTGAATTAGGCAGACTTCCTTGCTCCTTTCTTATTCTGGGTAGCTACATGGGCAGCCTTTCCTCAGAGCATCTAACCTGACATAATTGGCTCATCTGCTGTGCTTCTAAGCCAAATAAAAATAATCAAACACATCGAAGATATTTTTGGGAGTCACCAGGTTAAAGCAAAGCCTCCGTGACTGACGGCAAAATACTGCATTGGCCAGGTCTCCACTGAAAAAACAGAGTAAATGATAGTATGATACATAATTTCAAGTTTTGTAAGACTCCAATTTCTGAAAAACTTCTGACTCCAAAAAATCACGTACTTCCTAAAGTGTTGCCAATGGAGGACCAAATCAAGGTTACGGCTGTCATCGTTATTTCTGTCTTTTAAGTTATTTGACCTGAAAAGATGATCCCCACAGGATTTCTGAGAGAATTCTACCTGAAAGCTTAGATTTCAAAAGACAACCTGCAGGAAGCTAAGTGTCACAAAACAAAATTTAAAACCGTCAGAACTTATTTCTCTAAAGACCCAGCTGCTCCTGTCAAGTCCTTTTTCATCTCCCCCTTTTGTCCCTTTACATACTCTTTTTTTTTTTTTTTTTTTTTTTTTTTTTTGAGACGGAGTTTTGCTCTTGTTACCCAGGCTGGAGTGCAATGGCGCAATCTCGGCTCACCGCAACCTCCGCCCCCTGGGTTCAGGCAATTCTCCTGCCTCAGCCTCCCGAGTAGCTGGGATTACAGGCACGCGCCACCGTGCCCAGCTAATTTTTTGTAATTTTTAGTAGAGACGGGGTTTAACCATGTTGACCAGGATGGTCTTGATCTGTTGACCTCGTCGTGATCCACCCGCCTCGGCCTCCCAAAGTGCTGGGATTACAGGCTTGAGCCACCGTGCCAGGCCTACATACTCTTTTGTAAATTCCTTCTGATATCAATTATTGCAGGCAGTATTTTTACATCCATCGTCAGGAAATATTTTTTGGGAGACATTTTGAATCAACTAAAAGTATGTGTACTTTTAGTTGCCTTGACTCTATTTCAGATGTCTGTGATTAGTCAATGGCTGCTTTATTCCTCAGGACAAATAAATGAAGGAAGATAGCGACAAAGATTGACTGTCATTTGAGTGATGGAAGAGAAGCTAAGAAGTAGAGATACTGTGAGGGTACAGAAATCATAGGTTAGTAGACACTGAGAAAGGAAAACTTCCTATTTCCTAATGGGGCTTTTCAGGCTTATCTGACATTATCCGGATGTGTTTTCTAGTCTTTTCTAAAGGAGAAATTTTTATTCTTGGGTTGCTGAAAGCAAAGGACTAAAGGGATACAAGCAGCTCAATAGCAGCATAGAGGATTAGATTAGTGGAACAGCACTGCATACAGGAAACCTAAATCTAACAGTTCGGGCTGCAAGTCATTAGCCCAACACGAGCATGTAGGATTTGGAGGACAAAGTATAAATACTTTCAGTTTACACAACCAAGATTATAGGCTACCTTCCCAACTTCTAATTGAAGAGCACTGAAAACAGAGCTGTGAATACTTCATTTTTAAAACCTGACAAAATGGTGCTATTGACTACTTAATACAAAGATATATTACAATATATTTAGGTAAATATTAAGTCTAGCCTGGCCATAAATGTACATACAGAAAATGTTTGTAGGGAATTCATCAAAATCATGCCCATTTGCTGTTGTAGAGCTACAGTATTCTTCCACGGTGGTAACTGACCAGTGAGTTTCTACTGCCTACGATGGGACACAACAGTCATGGGCTGTCGCAGCTGCCTAAAGCCTGAGGCAGACCACATGAGAGCTCACTGTGACTTCTTGGATTCAGATTGGATAACCCAATTCAAGGATTAAACGTGTACATTTGTTGGGGGTGGGGGTGGGGGATGTTTTCCAGGAACTTGAAGAGTATGTGACACTATAAAAAATGGATGTTGGAAGACTAATCGTAGAAATTTGAACTGAGGGCCAATGTTACTTTGTGTAAGTTCACTCAGACATGTCAGAACATGCCCAAAGAAGCCTATACCTTGCTGCTGGGAAATGTAAAGCAGTTTGCATGTAGAATATGATAATAAATCATTTAAGAACCCACTAAAACTTTGCATTCTGTGATTTCGAATGTTACCACAATTCAAGTGAGACATCATGGACATTTTCCTTACATCTGAAATATGCAGTTGAATTATTCCTTGAATGTTTTCCCATTCTCTCAGATAAAATTATACTTTGTTTCATAGCATGTTTTTTTAACACTGAGTGTTCACATATTTATTTTCTGTTGAGTAAAACTGTAAAATCACTAGAGTTAAAAGAGGATATTAGTAATCATTTAATCCAATAAGCTCACTTTATTAAAGAGAGCTATTATGCCCAGGAGAAGTAATGACTTACCTAAGGTCAAAGTAGCAGGAAGGAATAGACCAGGGTTGCCCAGCTCCTAGTCCAGTGCTTTCATTACCATTCAGGCTGCTGTAATAAAATACCATAAACTAGGTGGCTTACCACAATTTATTTCTGACATTTCTGTCAGAAGTCCAAGAACAGTCCTGCAGACTTGGTGTCTATAAGGGCCTGCTTCCTCACAGAGGGTGCCTTCTTGCTGTGTCCTCACATGGCAGAAGGAGCGAGGCCTCTCACTTGGGCCTCTTTTATAAAGGTAGTAGTCACATTGATGAGGGTTACCTAATCAACTCTCAAAGCTTTAAAACCATTATCTTAGAGGTTAGGATTTCAACATATGAATTTTAGAGGAACACAAACATTCAAACCATAGTACCAGATGTTTTATTAAATGAGGAAAATAACTTCCTGCTCCATAGTCATATTTTCTATTACATATTTCCCACAGCATCCCTAACTGCTCTCTGATAACATAGATCACAGTGTCCTTGTAATTACTTTTAGTTTTTTCAACTCCAAACAAAATATTGTAATTCCTAATCAAAGTAACACAATTATTTGAACATGTGTACAATAAATCCTGTCCATATTTACAAAGGCAGAATATAGTCATCATTTGTTCTGAATATATAATAGCGAATAAAGATTCAGCAGTATTGTATAATAGCTAATATTATATGAGACACTGCAGGAGAGATCAGCATGTGTGCTTTTAACTTTGTTTTCCAGGTCTATATTTTTCTTTCGTAAGAATTCAGAAAGTTAAATTACATACTTTAAGTTCAGGCATATGAAACGAAATAGTACTTAATGTTAAATCACAAAGATAAATATCAATGACCAATTTTAAGAGTGTCCAGAAATTTTTATTTTATTTCACAGCAATTTAAAAATACATATTTTATTGATATTAATACATATTCTTTATTAGTTTTACATATTGGTTCATGAAATAATTATATAAACTTCTTAAAAATAAAATCTATATTATAGCTTTTATTGAACTGCAAGAGATAAATTTTAATATTTATATATGTAAAATCTGTAAAAACAATACAATAATTTAAAAATTATAATTCCAACTTCCTGTTTTTTGGAATTATTCTGACATTTCTTCAACACTGAAGTCCCAACCTTCTCTACTTCTAGAAGATGAATAAGAAAGACGTGGAAGACACACTAGGCAGGTAATTATACAACACAGGTTCTAAGGGAAACCTGATCAAGGCCCTTAGCTTCTCTGGTTCTGTTGATTTCTCTATAGGGTGGGGATCGCTACAGTCCCATTTACTTAAAAGAAACTGGATTTAAACACCTGATCTGAAAGATGGTAGTACACTCTTGAGTAAAGAGGTAAAGCTTTTTTCTGTATTACAGGCAATTACTCAGACATAAAAGCTCAATAGACAATTAGGGGCTTGAATTGTGCAATGTTTTCCTATCTTCTCCAGATACAACCTCAATTACATTGTTGTTTAGCTTGAGATATTAATTGAATTCAACACTACTGTTGACTAAATGCCCTTTAGTTAGAAAAGGAAGAGGCTGAAGGGAGGGGAATAAAAAAAATTCTATTAACTAGGAGATATTTTGCACATAGAAATCTACAATTTCAAATATATCCAACCTCAAGAAACACTGAAATGAAGAGAATTTTAACATTTACAAGTCCACTAGTACTTTAGCAATTTATATCATAGATTAGTTAACTACAGGATGCTAGATTCTCATTTTTTCTGAATATTGTTTTAAACTTAAAGGTTAAGCGTTATTAACACAAACTAATATTTCATGCAAAAGTATCACTTTTATTATAAGTTTTTTCTTGTATGGAACTAATTTCCTTAAAAAATAGCTACTATGTACTGAAAACAGTATTATGCCAAATATTTCTACATATACAAGTTTCTAATATATGCTACCTATAAGCTACAGAAAAGAACCATCTAACAACAAGGCAGATTATATTCTTTCATTTCATCAACTGCCGTATCAAAAGTTACTTATCTTTGAAGGAAAATATTTTTTGGCAATAATTTTATTTCATTGGCAACTACTAACTGATTTATATCTAAAGTTTAGATGTCCTATTTAGCAAGCGAAGGATCTAAGAGACTAGAAAAGATTTCCATTTAACATATAATTTCCTATTATTGTCTATTTCATCTTATGACAAGACAAATTAATAAATATACTTTAGGACTGTGCTATTCAATACAGTATCCACTGGCCTTATGTGGCTAATGAGCACTGAAAATGTGGCTTGCCTAAATTAGTAAAATGCATACCAGATTTCAGAGAATTAGTATGAAAAACAATAGAAACTATCAAAATAAATCTTTATATCAATTACATGTTAAAATTATAACATTTTGAATGTATTAAGCTAAATAAAATATTAAAATTAACTTCAGCTGTTTCTTCTAGAATTTTTAAAATTACATATATCACTTACATTATTTTTCTACCCTACAGCATTGCTATAGAAGCAGTAGACTCAATTATTTATGTTAATATCCATCCCGACCCCCATCATTAAGCTTTTATATCATTATGGTATAAGGTAACATATTTAATACATGATCACAAGATTCCTGAGCTTAGAATCATGAACACCACTCTTCAAAACAAAATCAAACAAAACCTGTTGTAATTATCCTGGCAACAGTGATAAACTTTAGATTTGTGTTAGATATGAGTCTGCAAAAAAGACAAAAAGAATCTTTCGGAATGATGGAAATGTTCTAAATCCAGATTGTGCTGATGGCTTCACAATTCTAAATATGTATTTTAAAACTCACTGAATTAGACACTTGAAAATGGGTAAATTATATAATATGTAAATTATATATCAATAAAGCTGTTTTTATTTTTCTAAAGTACACAGCTAGAGCCCAGCAGATTTAAGAGCCCATCTAGAAGCTGTACATATTTCTTAGGTGATTCAAACATAATTTTTAAGTTCATCATCTTCACAAATAAAATTTTTCCATGAGGATAATTTTACCTAGAGTGGATCCATGTTTAATAGTAAATTATGTAATTACTCATTGGAAGTATATGTTGATAAGGACAAAGAGAGCACTAGAGTAGAAATAGTGGGCAGTTTATTTGCTTTTAGGGATCTCCGGCTCAGTTAATAGCCCTTATAGTAATGTATATACTATCTTGTCACAGATCCCTTACCCAAATTAGGCACCTTTGGAATTTCACCATCCTAGATGGAATAGTAGAATATGAGACTTCCTACTCTATACTAAAATAAATAAATGAACAAAATAGAAGTCAAAACTAACATTTACCCATTACCATGGGAAACTAAAACTAAACTACTGAGTTTTCTTTCACTATTGCAGAACGAATGAAAGGAACAGAAATCTAGTAATGCAAAAGCACATTCAATTTAGAAAAGGATACTGGTAATTAATAAGCCATTAAGAATACAGAATCCTTTGTGTATCCCTTCTATCAGAGCTTGATCAATGTCAATATTATGAGATTATTCACCAGGAACATTGTGGTGCTGCCACCTTTTGTTTTTTGAAATCTATCATCTCCAGTAGCAAAAAATACATAAAAACAAAAGTGAAGAACAGCTTCACTGTTCCATTTTGACAAAATGGGTATGAAGAACTATGATTTATTCTTTCTTTACACCCAGGAAAATCAATAAAGTAAAACACAGATCAAACTATCAGACACTTGAAACACTATATACTTTGTGCATTTTGTGGCCTGTTTAGCATGTATTTCAGGGCTCATTTTACCCATATTAGTAACAACAAAACAGTAGGCACAGAAATGCTAACACGTAAACAACTAACATTAAACATCGAAATGGATTTCAAGATGTGTGCACGTACACAAACAGATAAATATATACGAAGATTTGCCTGCAGACACTGAATTGCCTCAAGTTCTCATTTTAGAAGTAAACTAGATGGATAGTTCAAAACCCAAAGTCATTTAGAATGTGAAAATCATTTAGAAAATCTCATTTAAGGCAGCCACAAAATTAATTAGGGTACCCACAATACTCCATTCTAATTATTATAAAATGATATCTAGGCACTGGATAAATCTAAGAATGTATTTGTTCCAGTTACAGACTGACACTTTTAAGAGACTCAAAATTTGGACAGCAAAACTACACATTTTAAATTGGGGCCAGGAATCGGGGCTCATGCCTATAATCCCAACACTTTAGAGGTGGGGAATCGCTTGAGGTCAGGAGTTCAAGAGCAGCCTGGGCAACAGAGTGAGACCACATCTCTACAAAAAATAAAAAAAAGGAATAGCCATGCATGGTGGTGTGTACCTGTAGTCCAAGCTATTCAGAAGGGTGAGGTAGAATAACCCCTTGAATGGTCAGATCAAAGCTGCAGTGAGCTGTGATCACACCACTGCCCTCCAGCATGGGCAACAGAGTTAAGATTCTGTCTCAAAATTAAAAAAAAAAAAAGAAAGAAAATGAAAATGCCCTCTCTTACATAGCTATTTACTTTAGGAATAAAACCAAATGTACTACTAAACCAAAATTATTTCAAATTTTCTACAGGCTATGAAGAAGAGTGGAATCAATGATTTTTACAGGCCATGTGGCTGAGAGACAGAGTTGATCCATGGTCCTACAAGTTTGAACGCATTTTGCCTATCATAAAGCTTTTCGTAAATCACCATAGAAGTTGGTTAAAGTG